CCAATTGATTCTATGATTCTAAGACACAATGCAGTAACTTCTGTGGTAAAAGAAATTAAAAGTTAGTTTATTTCCTATACAGAAACTACCCTTATTTAGGCTTTCTTCCCTTTTCCAGACATTTTCCTTTTTCTAAGCCACTGACTCTCCACTCTCAGGCACAGTGGCAAAGAGTATTTTATGGTTGCTTTTTACAAAGCACTAACGACATACTTTTCCATGGAAGTACATGAAAAAAAGAGAAAGTCATTGTGGGCTCACCTCTCTGAGGCACTGAAGAGTCAGACACACTCCTGGATCTTGTAACAGCTGGAGACTTTAAGCTGTGAGATGCTGTCCCAGGTGACATACTGCTGCTTGCACTGTGTTCACTGAAAACATTAGGTGACTGTGCCATGTGTGTAAAGGAGGCAGATTGGCAGGGCTGCTCCCACGTCCTGCAGTATGCCTTCCTTGAGGATTCAGGAGAAAGGTGCTGGCTAACCCCTTCAATTGAATCTGGTGTTCCAGGACCCGATGCTACTGAAGAAAAAGCAGCACATGAGAGGCAGTAAAACTATTTCATTTTTGTTCAACCATATCCTCCCATATACTGAGAAGCATTTGGAAGGTGTAAAATATATTATATTGATAGTAAATGAACTTTTTCTACTGTATTGATTAATATAAGCTCTTTAGATGATTCAATGACCTACTTGAGAAATTTGCCATTTATTCTTTATAGGATTTTATAATAGAGTGATGCATGTGGAGTAAATTATAACACATATATATCTGGTCACGTGTGTAATAAGATACAGGTAATAAATGTATACAAAATTACTACTATAACCCCTTGTGCAAGAGGATGTTTGGTGCTAAGAAGCAGTATATCTTACCTGGCAGATTTATTGTCTGATCACCTAGGAAGAGCCTTCTAGCAATGCTCCTCCTGTACCAGGCCCTGGGGAAGGCCAGAATCTCGCTGAGGCGGCGCATGTCGTATTTAAAAGAAGCAGATCCTATGTCACAGACAGCTGGAAGAGAAAAAGTGCATACACATAACTCTAAGTTCTCAGTAGTAACAGGCTTTGGTAACCAAATGTGATTAAAAGGCATTCAATATAGTCAAATTATTCTTCACTAGCAGCATAGTCTCTGATGTAATGAAAAAAGTTTTCCTGAGGTGCTGCCATCCCTCCAAACACAATATTAGATACCAATGCATTTCATAAAGGCAAGATGGAACCTAAGAATATAAATGACATTGAGTCCTGCTTGTGTTGGATGTGCCTCAGACTCCTCATTGAGGGCTTTAATGGCAGATGAATCACAGCCATTCTGCTGTTTGCTCACTAAGTTAGGAAATAAATCTCTAAAGCCTACTTTTCCTTCAAGGTTCCTTGAGTGTTCAGGAGTCCAGCTCTCACTGTAGCTTCAGAAGCACCAGATACCAAGGGTCATAGTAAGTCAGATGGACTGATGTCAGAGATGTGTTTGAGCAAGTCTATTCAGTTTTATTAAATGAATCAAGGAGGCTATAAAGGCACATCTAGCAAACAGATACTCCAAGGACCATTAAATTTAATGTATCAATTCCTACTTCCCTCATAAAGAGCAAAAATGTTATGCACACTACAAGCAGATGGCTCTCAGTAACAGCTACAAAAGCTGCCCAGAGTAAAGTCCCTCACTGTTCTCTAATTAGTTCTCTAATTAGCTGAATAGATGGGATTAAAATGAGCCAAGCACTTACCAGATATGTTTATCAATGTGGTATCTATCTTGCTGGTAGCTTTACTTGCAGGTTGACTCTCAAAAAAGGAGGAACCTCCTGAACGCCTCATTCGTGACAGGCTGACTTTGACAAACTCCAGGTTGATGCTCAAGGAATCCTTCCTGCCAGTGACCGAAGTTGGTTCCTCATCCACATTCCCTAAAAGTAGAGAGGAAAAAAAATCTAATCTTTACGACCTTTTCAAACCTTCAGTTCAGAAAACCATGCTCAAGTTGAGTCGTGTTTATTGAAGCAAACAAAAGCTGTTTCTGTACCTAAGCCTCCTGATCCAGGGGTTAGCACGGTAACGGCCGATTTCTGCTTTCCGGCTCCGTATGGATGGAACACGTAAAGGGAGAAGTCAGACATGCAGGCAGTAAAGCTCAGGCCTGAGGAGCTGCTGCTGGAAGTAGTCAGGTCTGACTGGCTGCTGCTGTGCCGTGTTCTGCCAAGGGGGCTGCCTAGTCCAGGTGATGAACCTGAAGTCAATTATTTTTGGCAAAAATTAGATTTTGAAAGCATTTTGAAATATGAAATAATACTTAATGCTAACAGTAACATTAAACAGATGAAATGCACTTCAAATTATGCCCTTTAGCAGAAATGTAGCTTAAATATTCTGTACATTGACACTAGCCATAGTACAGAATCAACATTCATGGACATATTACCTGGGCCTCCAGATTTACTAACTGAATTCTTCGAGCTGCTCTGTGAGGTATTGCTAGCAATGGACACAGTTTCTGATGGGTATGTTGTGCCTAAAGTCTCCAGCTCTCCTCGGTTTGAAGAGAAAACAAGATCCAAGGAAGGCAACTTCAGCATACATTCAACTCTTGATACTGGCAAACAACTGAACTTGATTTGAGAGGGCTGAAAGACAGACAAATTAAAGCATTCAATGAACAAATCTGAAATCCCAAATTTGGCTTGTAACATGCTATGGATTTATGTTTTAAATCTGAGCAAATTACAGCCTTTTCAAACTGGTTTTAGAGTTAAGAAGATAACTGCATACAAGTTGATGTAGGTTCATTAATTTCAAGCAATCCCTCCAAATACCAGGGCCAACATTCTTGGCCTAATGAGTTTGCAAGGAAAAGCTGAGAGAGGCTCCAGATTGTTGTGGCTGATTTTTATAGGGCAAAAAAAGGAGCATCTGTTAGAATAAGTTGTTCAGTTTGGGAACATAATCAAGTTTATGTCAGTTTGTTTGAGCAAAGTGGGAAAACAGCAATGTTCATATCAAGCTCAAGTGCTCTGAATCACTCCATGGCAGCATTTTTCTCTCTTAGACATAGAAAAATCCTGGACACACCAAATGGTACCTATGAACAATGGATAGAAATAGTAGTTATGAAACATTTTCAAAACAAGTCCAAAAGATACAAAGAATTGCTGAAAGTCCTCAGAACTTTTAAACAAGTCCAAAAGATACAAAGAAGAATTGCTGAAAGTCCTCAGAACTTTTGTGACTTCTCAAAATAGCTCATTTCTGTGGTCTCCCAGGGACCAAAATACATCAAAACTCTCATTTTATCATCACACTAGATATCAATATTTCAGAAAGGACAGTTGAAAATACGTTTTAGCTTTTAAAAGGCAAACTTAGAAGCTTGGAGTGTTTTAAAGGCTGTGACTGAAGTTACTTACTACCCTGAATGTTAAGTTAAAACCTCACCTGAACTCGCACATAAACCACCACATCGACTGGGAAGGATGAATATGCTGATGTTGAGGATGATACTAAAGATGTTGTGGACTCTTCCAAGGGATCTTGTATATCAAATTGTCCCATGTCTTCATCCTGTGAACTGACAGCTTTTAACAAGGACAAGAAGTCATTAGAAAGTGGAATTTAAAGGGAAAAGTAGCTTAATGCCACCAGAATACAAATATGCAACTTACCTGTGTAATTCCTTTCAATGGGTGTAATTGGAATGGTTTCAAGAGCTTTCTCCAGGAAGTCCAGCAAGCATGGGCTAATCACCATCTCCTCTGGCAGTGACTGGAGGGCTACCCATGCATATAGCTTAGCAGTTTTCACTCCACCGCTTCCTTTCCCTTTGGCTGCAACATTTAAAAGACAAATTTGTCTAATGTAATACCACTCAACAGAAACTGATAAAACATTAGAAGATGCTTCATAACTAACAGCTGTTTCCTCTGATTTCTCTATCTGAAAAAGCATGAATCAGACTGGTTAGAAAAAGATTAAGCCTTAAGTTTTCACTCAGAAAACTGCGCAAAAACAACTGTTAGTCTGTCATGCTTGATTGTAGTTCCATGGTGCATGTTCTTCACCACTCTGATGCCACTGTGACTGCCTCACTTTCCATTAAACAGCCCTGAAAGCAGGCACACACAGCTGTTCTCCAAATGCACAATGCAAAGTAACCACAGCTGACTGGGAAGAAAAGTGGAGTTAGGAAAAATAAATGCACAAGTCTGGAAAGAACATCAGTTTAAATAGAGAAAATACCTAGAAAAATTAAAACTAATTGGCAAGTCCTACTATATTTATGCAAAGAATAACTAAAAATTCTTAACCAGTGTTTTTAAAAGCTTGGAACTAGTCGGAGTATAAGCAAGTAAGATTTCTGTCTTCTAAATCTGTGGAAGAGGCTTGAATCCACACTCACCATAATTTAAATATGCAGAGAAGATATTAGTACCATTATCATCAAGATATTAGCTCAATTACTGTCTCTATGGAATATAGCTATTAGAATGGATAAATAAATGAAGATATGGATTTCAAATTCTCCAAGGAAAATAGCAAAGTTAACTGCTAAAACAGAGCTTAAAAATCCTTTTGCTTGCTAAAAAAAGCAAGCACTAATATTTCATTCTATGCAAACTATTCTGTCTAGTGCCTCTGACCACATTGTCCTTGCTCTTACTGGGAGTCAGAGACAGTAAGATGAGATGGTTTCCATTCCAGAGGAGTGGCTTTCAGGGGAAAAGTACTACTGAAAAAAAAGTAGTATAAATGACAATAAATGTGCTTCAAAACAAGTCAGAACTAATAAATATTTCTAGAAACACAATGCATAAAGAAATAAAGCAATTACAAGCCAATCCCCAGTTTGAGGAGACATTTCTATTATCATACAAGTGCAATTTCTGTAAGCCCCCCCCAAATGTAGAGCTTACAAACATAAAACCAGCAAGACTCAGTAAGTGGACATGGCATGGTAAAAATCCAAAGGCAAAGATTAGAAAGAAGATATAGGAAGGTAGAGAAAAAAACTGAGTAGAAGTAGCATAAACCATTACACATCATTTGGTAATCATCAAGAGGATGGCCACCTAAAGGAGTAAGAGCTAATGGTTCAACAGCATGGATAATTGAGGAAGGTGACCCCATTGCACTCTTCTCTCCCAGCATCTCTGCTCATTTTATAAGGCTAAACCCACACACACAACTTTCAGTTAATCTTTTTGCCTACTCATCAAATTCTGACAAAATTTCAGCTTTGTATTTAAAGTGACATTCAATGCCAAAGGAGAGAAGTGTGTCTCAGAAGTTGGATGTGCAATCTACATATCTCCTAGATCTGACATGATGTAAGAACAGACTGCTGCTTGAAAACAGGAATCACTGGAGATAAAACAAGACTTGTAAGTATTAGAACTCATGTTACTCCAAATCATGGAGCTATTTAAGGGCCTGCAACAGGTGAGAGATTTACAGCTATTTCAACTTTGGTTTCCAGCATTCTTTTGTTAAATGAAAACAGGGAGAAGGCAGTGGCAGCCCACCACTGGGATATGCTGACTATGACAGAAATATCACTGAGATTGGTTTGGCAAACAATGTCTAAAAATGCAGCTTTATGAACTGCATTCTTGGGATCAGCTTTCTGTAGCCACAGTTAAGGCCTGATAAATACAATGCTCCAGGTAAAGTGTAGCCAGATCTAAAGCCAGTAGATTGCACCAAAGAAAGATACACATCCATGACAGATTCAGAAGGTTTGTCTACAAGTACCTGATGGGATGGGTGGGGGTTGGGGAGGAAGTAAGGTGTTAGTCTTGCTGTGGATAGTGCTAGGTAAAGGAGGAGGAGATGTGGCAGTATCTTTCATACCATACAGCTTGGACTCTTTGGAAAGGGTTCTTGGCAAGGAGGATCCACGAGAAGTGTTTGGCGATTCAGTCTTTAGAGTCTTCGAGTTGTAGTGCAGCTGGAAAGCAAAGAAAGATCAAGTTACTTCACATGAAGAACTCAATTTCTCTACAGCCATTTGGTGTCTCTCCTTCCCTTCAAAATTTATTTCTTGTCATTATTTACAGAAATATCATTGCAAGATGATATTTCAATGACATTCCAATTCATGTCCTATAAATATTAAGATCTGAAAACTTAGTATGAAAAAATAGATGTTAATAAAATATTAAAAATCATCACTGAAACACAGAGAAACAGAGGAAATTAATTATTCAGGAACAATGCCTAAAGCTTGCTCCTCTGCTCTGTTACACTACATGAATCCTGTGCAACCAACTATTTGTTCCTCTGCACACAGCTTCCTTCCTGCATGGTTGAATTGTTCCTACTGAACACAGGCATACAGAAATTTGCATAAAAAATAGTAAGATATTCCAAGAGTTCACACCTCCTCCATGGGCATAATACACCATCAGTGAAAATACAGAACATTACAAAAGCTATAGAGAATGTTTAGTTATTCCTAAATTTGACTAAAAGCAACAGGCAGGTTCAGAGGTGTAACTTATCCCTGAAGACAGCCTGCAATGCTGGGAAATGGACACACATAGTCCTTCCACATGGAAAGACTAAAAAAGCTGAGCTGTTTCAAGTGAGGAGCATTTTGATTTGTCATTGTCTCAACTGAATTGCAGCAGTGACTGACTTTTCCTGTTCTTAATTTCAAATCACAAAATCCAAGAACATTCAATCCCATAACAAACCCATGCAGAGCTCCAG